GGAAGGGAAGGGAGGAAGGGAAGGAAGGAAGGAAGGAAGGAAGGAAGGAAGGAAGGAAGGAAGGAAAAAAGGAAGGGAGGGAGGAAGGAAGGAAAAAAGGAAGGGAGGGAGGAAGGGAGGGAGGGAGGGAGGGAGGGAGAGAGGAAAGGGAGGAAGGAAGGGAAGGAAGGAAAGGAAGGAAGAAGGGAAGGAAGGAAGAGAAGGAAGGAAGGGAAGGAAAGAAGGAAGGAAGGAAGGAAGGAAGGAAGGAAGGAAGAAGGGAAGGAAGGAAGGAAGGAAGAAATTTAAATGAGATACTCGACAGTGGTGCACTCCAGGGACAACACATAGGGCAGAAGAGCTGAAGAGTCCCAAGGGGTTTAAATAAAGTGCTCAGGGAGCCTCAGGAAGAAAGGCTGATGAGGAGACACCTACAGGAGGTGAGAGGAAGACATCAAAAGTAAAAATGTCCTTGACAGAGGAAGCAAGGAGCTCCAAAAGGACCATGGCACCCTATGTGGTGAGGAATGCAGAAACGAAGTGTCAGGAGCCCTCGGCCTCTGGAGACAGGGAGCGCCTGGCCTGTTTTCTGAGTAAGACAGGTAGTCAGCATAGGACTCTGAGTGGAGAACATACAAAACCAAAAATGAAAGCCAACTCCCTACATTTGAGTAGCCAGGACACAACTACTTGGAATCTGGTCCCAGTGACATACAGTGTTGTAAACAAATATTTGGAAACTGATCCCAGGGACCCACAGTATCCTACAGAAAGTGACAGTCTCTTTTGACAAGCTAGTGAGATGTCCTCCTATGTAAGCAGATATAGACGGTTCACAGATGGCCTAGAAGATAAGGCCAGCTACCTGCCCTTCCACCCAGCTGTTATGGAGGAAATCCCTCTCCCTCTCCTCAATATGCAATATGGTTCCTTCCCTGGGAATCCACACAAATCTACCAGTATATTCCAATGTGTTCTCACTAATTAATGCACTGGGTAAATTACTTTTACCACTCATGTCACTGGCCTTTCTAAACACTGTGTCACATGGTAGAAGGACATGAACTGATGGAAAGCTGACCCCGACGGTTGAAAAAGACAGAAAGGGGTGACATTAAAAAATGGCAAACAGCCAGGACATTTCGACAAACGCTCAGGCAAGAAGTGAACGTGACAGGAAACACAAACAAGGAGCAAGCCAAGGCCGACACAAAAGCAAGGTTGCTGTTCTAGACTCCTTTCTGTTGCTATGATAAAAATACTCTGACCAAAAGCAATTTAAGTGAAGAAAGGTATTTGACTTATACTTCCAGGTTACAGTTCAACACTGAGGGAAGTTAGGGCAGACACTATGGAGGGATGATAGTGTTTGGTTCATTCACCAGAGTCTGCTTAACTGTCTTATACATCTGAGGCCTAGGGATGCTTCTGCCCATAGTGGGCTTGGCCCACCCACAGCAGCCACCAATCAAGACAATCTCATTGATATGGCCTCAAGCCAATCTGATCTGGGAAATCCCCCAATTGAAAGTCCCACAGATGACTCCAGGCTGTATCCGGTTGATACCTGATGCTAGAGTCATCCAGGAGAGACAGGATAGAGATCCCAGAAGCTCATCAATAATTCAAGGGTGGTGACCAAGAGTGAAGGGACAGGGCTTGCCTTCACATGTTAGTAGCAATAGCAGTGACTGTGGAAGCTGGGATTTTTGAGGGGATTTATCAAAGAAAAGAAATAGAAATAGAAATAGAAAACATCAGAAGGACATCACTAATAGGGAAGTCACCGGCCTAAGGTTCAGGGAAAAGGAGAGAAGGAGGCTCCATCTCTGTTCCTCCTTGGTCCCATCCTCACCCGTGCCTGCTGAGATTGCTTGCAGAAACACTAATTACTCTTTCTTCTCATTTTTTCCAGAACGTTCCTTTAGTAGATATTCCTTACTTTAGCCTCCCTTTTATACCCTTGAGTTTCTACTGTAAAATAGTCCTGCTCTAGCCATACAGAAGAGCGTGGTAGCAACAATGTGTTCACTTCTAATCTCTAAAGAGTCTAAAACTGTTCCATTCTTG